GGACTCAAACTCGAGATCTCTAATTATGAAATAATCTCAACTATTCTGCCACAACCCATGGTGATAAAAATATTTTTAATTGAATGTATCATTTGTTGTACACTACTCGAAATATGTTTTTTCGATCATGTTTCAATTGAATTAACTCACTAAGAAAGCGTATTATGGAAAATAGATTTTCATTGAAATATTGAAAATAATCGTTGAATAGTCTTTCTTTTCTTACTAATCAATCAACATATGTATGAAAACAACCACTGGACATTTTTTCAGTAAAACTTTTCCAAAAAATAGTGATTTTTCAATAGTGATATTTTCACCAACTAATTAAAAATTTAAAATACTCAATACGATAAATATATCATTTATATGTTATAGAAAGCGAGTGAGATGTGACAAACTTATTACTATTGTTCTTTTGAAAAAAAGCTACTAAACTATGACTTATTGTCTTTTTATATAGACCCCCACAATATTGTGATTAAAGGCTCAATCTAATCACCCCATGCCATTATAAGCTGGTCAATCTAATTTATAAATAATTTTAATTTTGACATAGTCCATCTAGTTTACAAATATTTTTTAATTTATTTATATGTTTGATAAACACCTAAATTGTTTATGTCAAAATTAAAGCCATAAATTAGTCATAACCCCTAGCCTCTAACTTATGATTTTACACCTTATAATTACACAGGATTTTGACCAAATTTTTTATAATCTTGTCCCTCATATATGTTGTAATTTGTGAATACTTTAAATTTGTTGTAAAACTTAAGAACAAAAGAACAATATAAAGAGGAAAAGAAGAAGACTATAAGACAAGAGAAACAATATAAGATCATTTTCTTTCTTTCAAGTGTCATCAACATTATTCTCAACACCACTATTTATAGGATTACATTGAGGAATACCAAAGGGTGTCATAAACATTACATTAAACCTTGAGAATTACTACCCATTAAGGAGGAAATAAACCTAGGAGTTATGGTCATCCAATTAACTATATTATCAACAACATTACTATCAATGAAGGATGAAATTAACCTAGGAGTTATGCTCATCCATTTGACCACATTAT